ACCATGGAAGTCTGGGGGACTCTATTTTGAAGGGCTCATCTGCTTGGCTGAAGGAAGGCAGAAGGTGGCCTGGGTGGATGTTGGAGCTGGGACCTTCACTCCACCTGTTCCTATCCAGGCAAGCAGTTCCTTAAAAAGCTGCCCTCAGGGCATGGACTGGGACCAGCCATATTGACTCGGCCCCGTAGGAGTTCCAAAGCACCTTCACCCTTTATCCCTTTTGATCTTCATCACAATCTTATACAAAATATGTAAATAAACAAAAAGAACAAAACCACCAGTTAAGCATGGAAGTTTCCTGCCTTTAAAAAAGAGTGAAGTGCAATCCCAGGAGTGTTGCTACTTGTACCTCCTTCTTAGTTTGTTAAAATTCTGTTCTCAAATTAAAGGTGCTGTTGGATTAAGAGGGTCAGGGGTGAGTCCATTCTTTCACATTATGAAGTTGTTCATTTAAAGCATGCCTGTGTAGATCTCTCAGTAAGACACAAGTATCCGTGCAGGCTTATTCAGTACTCTCTGGAGCTCAAGAGTTTCCCTTTAAGGGCCAGAGTACTATTGGAGGAAGCCAATTACTACTTCTGCCATGATTTCTGCCATTGGAGAAGGGATCTCCTGCCTGCCATCTTCAGGACCCAGGCATTACTCAGTACCATGAGGCAGCTCCCCAAATTGCAGACAGACGCTTTAGGAGGAAACTGTCAGTCTCTACAAGGCTCGCCTTGTGTATCCAAAACTTATTAAGTGACATCATAAGTAAGGCTTGGCAAATAGGATGAGGGAGCCTGACCACTGAGGACAGACAGAAGCCTGCAGGCATAGATGCAAAAGGGTGTTGAAAGAGTTTGTCGCTCGGTCATGTCCAGTTTTTTGTGACCCCATGGACTGTAGCCCACCAGGCTTCTCTGTTCCTGGAATTCTCCAGGCAAGGAATACTGGAATCAGTATCCATTTCCTTCTCCAGGGGATCTTTCCTACCCAGGGATTGAACGCAGGCTTCTTGCATTTTGGGCAGATTATTTATCATCTGAGTCACCAGGGAAACCTCCAAGCAGAACGGAAATGGACACTGCCAGCAGGCAGAGGTGAGGACAGAGCTGAGTGCTTTGAAGAGAGAATGAAAAACCCCAGTTAGCTTTATAGAACACTTTCATAAGCATGGTCCTCCTCCAGCCTCAGCAGCCCTGAATGGTAAAATTTAATCATACCCAGTTCACAAATGAGGATCCCAAGGTCCTGCAAGGTCATTGAGCTATACTTAACCGAGCCATGTATCTTAGACCTGTGCTTGTACATAATGAGTGAATAGTTGACGTTTGTTGAATAAAGTAGAAAGTGTGCATTACATAGCACCTTTAAAAAGAACTGTAGGGATTTCCTTGGCAGTCCAGTGATTAAGAAGCTGCACTTCCATTTCAAGGGGCACAAAGATCCCACATGCTATGCACTGAGGCCAAAAAATGAATAAAAAGAATTGCAAATGATGAGAACTTTACATTTTTAGATAGTCTTAAATATCTTCCCACCAGATACTAATTACAAAGATACCCTTTACTGTAGAGAAATTTCCTTAAAACAAACGATATATATATATATCAGTTATAAAAAAGAACAAAATTTTCTCATTTGCAGGAACATGGATGGACTTGGAAGTCAATACACTAAGTGAAATAAGTCCAGCAAAGGTTAATACTGTATGATGTTAGGTGTATGTGGAATGTAAAAAATATAGTGGGGCTTCTCTGGTGGCTCAGACAGTAAAGAGTTTGCCTGCAGTGTGGGAGACCTGGGTTTGATCCCAGGGTTGGGAAGATCCCCTGGAGAAAGAAATGGCAACCTGCTCTAGTATCCCTGCCTGGAAAAGTCAATGGACTGAGGAGCCTGGTGGGCTACAGTCCATGAGGTCACAAAGAGTCGGACATGACTAAGTGACTAAAAAAAATATATATATATATAATATATATAGATATATAAAATATATTAAAAAATATATATATATATGTTAAACAAAAAAAGAAGCAGACTCACAGATACAGAGAACAAACCAATGGGTACTAGTCGGGGGACAATGTAGGGATGTGGGAGTGGGAGATACTGGGTGTAAGACAGGCTTTTAAGGATGTATTGTACAAGACACGGAGAATATAGCTAATGTTTTGTAATAATTATAAATGTAAAATTTATAATTATATAAAAATTTTTAAAAATTAGATAAACTATAAAAGTCTTGACAAAGTGACACATTAATATATAGCTCCTTTGGATGACACCTTCTCTACCAGTGCTCATTTTTTCTCTTCTAATTTGAGAGAATATTTCAAATCTCTGTATATTCCAGATTATTCTCACCTCAAAAGCCACCTCTCCCAAGAAGCTCTACATAATCTCTACAGATAGAGGTTGCGTCTTCCTTGAAATCCCACGACCCTGACTGGCACCTCTCTTAGGGCATTTATCACCTCATGGTGGAATTCTATGGTATCGTCCACCCAGCGCCACTGTCCAGCTCTTTTTCCTCTCTCCCTGACTCCAACCATGATGTTCTCACTGGGAGCCGCCATGTTGTTACAGATCACACTCCAAGCGACAGTTGATTGGTCTAGGGGGCAGACATCTGACTCTGCTGGGCCAATTGGACACTTAGTTCCAGAGGGGGACTAGAACTGAGTCCCTCCCCCCACTGGAACTGAGAAGTTCATTGGTCTGTTCCTGGTTCCTGAGCCTTGAGATGTGAAATATGGAAGCCATTAGCCATCGTGTCCTCTGACACATGGAGAAACTCTGTCCACAGCTAGAGAGAGAAGATGGCTAACACAGCAAAAGAAGGAGGGAGAGAGAGAGAGCTGGTTCCATCTGGCTTTTTTGTTTGGATTTGTGGTTTTTTTTTTTTTTTGCTTAAGTAGCAGATTAACTTCTCACAATTTTGGAGACTGCGAAGTCTGAGATCAGGCTGCCAGCATGGTTGAGTTTTGGTGAAGGCCTACTTCTTGGATTGAGGCAGTAGCTTTCTGACTGTATTCTTACTTGATAAGAGCAAAGAGAGGACTCTGATTCCATCTGCTCTTGAAGTTTTCTATCATTTCCAGGAATAGTTGATTGGTTGGTTGGCCCTGCTGTCTACTAGGTAACTCTCAGAATCCAATCTTCTGATAAAATCCCCTTCCAATAAATCTTTATTAAGGTAGCCAGCATAGTTTTCTGTGGCTTTCAACCGAAAGATACACAATGAGTATAACTACTCTGAGTTATTTACATAAATGTTTTATCTCTCCCACTCATCTGGAGATCGCCAAATGTCCATCTTAGATAACAGTTCTGCCTGGCCTGCTATTAGTGAGAAAACTAGGACAGTTACTTATAATTTTCAAAAATTACTAAATTCTGAGATTAGTCCATTTTAAATTTTATGGTGACAGAAAGTAATGCTTTATTTTACCTTTTCTTTAATGTTCTTTGACAAATAACAAAGTGTTGGCAACTGTATGCCTCTTTCAGGGATGTGAAATCCCAGTCTGGGGAGCACTGTCCAGGTATTGATTCCTTTGGCAGGGCCCTTGCCTGGCTCCTCCCAAAGTTCCTGGCCTAGGCAGGGTAGGAGATGTCTCCAAAAATGAGTGAGATGAGCTAATGGGTTTAGAGAGCAGTCTGGTCTCCTGTCTGTGACAAGATGATCTGATTTAAAACTGTTACAGCTTGTTCATTCATTCTTTTATGATTTTTCAAAGGAAGCTTCATTTAAAAAACTTTTGTATTTATTTTATTTTTGGCTGTGCTAAGTCTTCACTGCTGTGCAGGCTCTTCTCTAGTTGCAGTGCACGGGCTTCTCATTGCAGTGGCTTTTCTTGTGGAGCTTGGGCTCTAGGTGCATGGGCTTCAGTAGTCGCAGAACATGGGCTCAGTAATTGTGGCTCCTAGGCTCTAGAGCACAGGCCCAGTAGTCGTGGCACACAGGCTTAGTTACTCCAAGGCATGAGCGATCTTCTTGGACCAGGGATCGAACCTGTGTCTTCTGCATTGTCAGGTAGATTCTTTATCACTGAGCCGCCAGCGAAGCCCCCCACCTGCCCCAATATCTTTGTATATTTGCATAATGCCTGTCTAGTCTTGTCTGACTTTTCCTTTTAAGTGGACATCAGATAATTTTCTCCTTTATCCTAATTGTCAAGGAATGGTGTGGCTAGGAGGAAAGCTCAGAACGAGCTCACTGTGGTGGGAGAAAACACTGGAAGTGAATTCAGACAGCACTGTAGTCCAACTCCGGCTTCCCCTCTGGCTGGTTGCAAGGTCTTAGGCAACCTGCTTCATTTCTATGAGCCTTGGTGTCCCCGTCTGTGAAATGGGAATGTTATCTAGCCCACCTTCTGCACAGGACTGTTAGGGGCTGAGTAAGGCTTTGGCAGCAATTTGGGAACTGGACATGGAGGAAACAGGTACCAAGTGTTGTTTTACAGGAGCTGTTGAGGGTATTGGATAGGGAAATGATTAAGAAATAGAAATGGAATTCAGGGAAGTGCAGGGGAGTGGCAAAGGGCTTCTAGCTAGTGCTGGCTCTATCTGTTACTTGCATATGACCTCACCTCTCTGTGCTTCAGTTTCTTTATCTGGAAATGCAGGTCCCACTGTCAGGAAGTAACTCTTCCTGATCCTTCACACAGGGCATCGAAGCATGTGGACAGCTAATTGGAGAGAAAGGAGCACTCTGGGGGGGGGGGGCGGGAGGGGGGTGGAGTCTGCATTCGGAAGGCTTGTAGTTAGGAATTACTGGATGAGAAATACTGGTCTCACGTGTTTCGTTTCACGGGGACAATCATAAGATTGGTTTGGCCAAAAAGCTTGGTTATGGAAAAACTTGAACGAACTACTTACTTTCTTTTCGGCCAGCAAGATACTTCTCTATTGTGATGAGAATTAAACAAGATAATGCAGGCAGAACACTTAGCACAGGCTGGCACACTGCAGACTCAGTAACGATGCTTGTCCTTACTGCTCGTTTTATTTTACAGATAAGGAAAATGGAGCCTCCAAGAAGGTGTTGTGGCCAGCCCAGGCACACAGCCATCAGTAGTCGAGCAGGATTTGAATCCACGTCTTCCTGACTCGAGAGGCCAGGCTCTGAACCAGTGTGTTACAGTCACCCCATTGTGGGGCCTCTACTCCCGACCCCAGCTGCTGGCCTGACTCAGCAACTGTGGGTGGCCTCGCTCCAGCGCGTGGGCAGCAGAGCCAGTGAGAAGCCTCCCAGTTCCTTGAAAACCAAATATGGCCAGACCGGGCCCTTGGAGGTCCGACCCCCAGGCTGCGCCTGCTCCGGCCTGCTCTGTGCTGTGGGGCCCTGCTTGCTGTGCAGCCTCCTGGCTCTGCCCCAGAGGACTCTGGGAGAGCCCTCATCTGGATCCCCCTCTTCATAGGATCTTGCTGAGCAAGTTTCTGAAGGAGAAACACGCGAGACCAGTGTCTCCTCTGTGCTGTGGCGATTCCCAGCTCCAAGCCTTTGCTCACACAGCCCTCTCCGCCCGGACTTCTCCCTCTCTAGCCAGCTCTTATGAATTCTTTGGTGCCCAGAGTGAGCTGTCAGGACCTGTGTGACCTGGAGTAAATCTCTCATCCTCTCCATCCATCCATTCACCCATCCTTCCATCCAGTGGGCACTTACCAGGTGCCAAGCATTTTGACACATAGTCGCTCCTTCCAGACTAAGAAGCTCCTTGAGAATTGCAGACCAGAGGTAGAAGATAATTGTTCAACTCATATCCATGGGCCAAGTCTTGTCCGTACCATAGTCCTGGCGAGGCTCTTATCATGATCACCCCCTTTTCACAGTTGGAAAGACTGTACTCAGACACTTCAGTTCAGTCACTCAGTCATGTCTCACTCTTTGTGAACTCATGGACTGCAGCATGCCAGGCTTCCGTGTCCATTACCAACTCCTGGAGCTTACTCAAACTCATGTCCATTGAGTCACTGATGCCATCCAACCATCTCATCCTCTGTCATTCCCTTCTCTTGCCTTCAGTCTTTCCCAGCACCAGGGTCTTTTCCAATGAGTCAGTTCATTCCATAAGGTGGCCAAAGTAGCAGAGCTCCAGCTTCAGCAACAGTCTTTTCAATGAATATTCAGAACTGATTCCTTTAGGAATGATCGGACTCCTTGCAGTCCAAGCAACTCTCAAGAGTCTTCTCTGACACTATACTCAGACAGTGGATGTCCAAAGGTCTCAGCAGAGGGGACTTCCCTGGTGGTCCAGTGGTTAAAGAATCTGCCTTGCAATGCAGGGGACGAGGGTTCAATCCCTGGTCGGGGAATTAAGATTCCACATGTTGAGGAGGTAACAACCCACAGGCTACAACTAGAGAGTCCATGCACTGCCATTAAAGATCCCATATGCCGAAACTAAGACTCGACACAGCCGCATAAATAAATACATATTTAAAGCAAATCCACCCCCCACCCCAGACTCAGCAGAGCTGAGTAGAGGTGAGGCTTGAGTCCTGACCTGTTGGACCCTGGAGGCCAAATTCCTGACCACTTAGGCAGTACTGCCCACTCCCCTTGGAGGGCTGGATGGTGGTGAGAGTTGGGTTCTGGGGAAGGGCTGGGACCACTTCTCCCTCCGTTCCTGGCTCCCGAGTAGTCTCCTCAATCCAGTGCCTTTCCAGTCCAGAGGCAGCTGTTCCTCCCTTGCCTTCCCAACTCAGCCCCTCTGTGACCAGAGGTGGTCTGACACTTGCCAGGTTGGCAGGGGGAGGATTAATGTTTTTCCCTTGCCTCCCCCTGACTGAGACGTTGAGAATGCCTATCCCATCTCAGCATTCCAAGTGGTGCTAGTGGTAAAGAACCCACCTGCCAATGCAGGAGACATAAGAGATGCAGGTTCAATCCCTGGGCTGGGAAGTTCCCCTGGAGGAAGGCATGGCAACTCACTCCAGTATTCTTGCCTGGAGAATCCCATGGACAGAGGAGTCTGGCGGGCTTTAGTCCATGGGGTCACAAAGAGTCGGACACGACTGAGTAAGCACACACAGCATGCACGTCCCTTCTCAGAGCCTACAAAGTCCTTTTCAAGATCACCGTTTCACCTCAGCCCTGCAGGGGAGGCAGGGCAGGGAGGCCCTTCCTCATAGTTCCACTGGGGGAACTACAGCCCCAGCACATCAGGGGGCGGCCCGGCTGCGCCTTAAATCTTTTGCTTCAAGGAATGGAGTATGGAATTGTCTGCTAGATCTCTCCCCAAGCCATGGTCTGAGGTACTGAAGAGCCTGACAGAGATCCCAGCTCTGCTACCCACCAGTTGTGCGGCCTTGTGGGAGTCACTTCACCTCTCTGCGCTTCAGTCTCCTCCTCTGAAACACGGGGGCAGTGCAACTTAGCATGCACGCGTGCTCATACCCATCTGAGAGAGGCTGGGAGGCTGAAATGAATGAATGCTCGCGAAGCACATAGCCTGGAACATGGTGGGTGCTCAGACAATGAGGTGATTATTGTTCTAAGTGCCTAACATGGCATATCAGATCAGGAGGCTCATCCAGGCCAAGGGTAATAGTCCCTAACATTCCTTTATCATTGCTGTGTACCAGACTCGTTCATCAGAACAACATCGCTGTAATTCAGTGCTTCAGGGAATGGAGTGTGGAATTTTCTGTTGGATCTTTCCTGAGGCCATGATATGAAATACTTAAAGAGTCTGACAGATCCCAGCTCTGCTCCCCAACCAGCTCTGCAGCCTTGTGGAAGTCACTTCACCTCTCTGAACCTCAGTCTCCTCCTCTGAAATATGGGGGCAGTGCTAGCAGCCATCTGAAAGAGGTTGGGAGGATGAAATGAACTAATTTTACAGACGGGGTAACTGAGGCTCAGAGAGGGAAAATGACTCACCCTAACTTCCTGCCCAGTGAGGGGAAGAGCCTGAGCATGGACTCAAGTCTGTGTCTACAACATCAGCTTGGATCCACTGTGGTGGATTCTTCATCGCCCTCACGCTAAGGCCCAGAAAGGGAAAGAGAGTTACTCGGGGCCCCACAGCAGCTGAGGGTGGGTCAGACCACATTGCAGAGGCCTTTTCCATTCTGGCAGCTCCACATGGGTCTGGATAATTCTCCAGCCCTAGGGCTAAAAATAATACATTCACAGTCCTCAGAACTCAGGTCTGGGGGTCTCGTCCACAGTCTCAGGTTGCCCCCCAGATCCCGTCTTCCCCAGAAACCCCATGATCATCCCTTCCCCACCCCCAGCTTTCCACATGGACCCCCCATTTGAAAAAAAAATCAGCTGAAACTTTGGCCAAAGAAAACTTATTGATGCCCACAAACCAGCCAGCCAGGGAGGAGGCTGCCCTGGAATGTTGGAGGGGGGTCATCAAGCTGTTTGTGAGCTGGCCAGCCAAGAAATAGGAGCAGCTACCATTTTTGGGGAAAGCCATAACTCCCTCTGTGGGAAAGGATCCAGGGCAGGCCAACTCAGAGGCTCTGGCCTCAGTTTCCCCATTGTCACCACCATGGCATTTATGGGGTCTGAATAACTTCAGCTATTGATTCAACAAATATCAGTTGGGTGTTTGCTGTGTGCCAGGCACTGAGCTGGCTGCTTGGGGGCACAGTGGGGTGAGAGCTAAGCCCTGTCCTTCAGGACTGACTTTCCAGCAGAAGGCAATCTCTCGGTAAGTCTCTTAAAGAACCAGAGCCTGGTGGCCCAGGCCCACAATGCTAGATCAATACTCTTGGGTCTGGATGGGTTTCAGAATTCAGAATTTTGGGGGATCTTAAATGGTGATTGGGTGGGGTCTGGGCCCACTCATTCCAATCAGACATACAGATATTGCTGTAGTGAGAAGTGTGAGCATTGACAAATAAAAGTTCTACACAGCTTCAGTCCATTTGGGTCAGATTTTGCCTCCAAATGAGTTTTCTTGGAGTCTACAGAAAAGCTCTTGGTTGTCTAGGTGTTCTGGACTATGGTGTGGAAGGTAGGTGTTAAGGACCTGATTCCTCTCCCCATTATACAGATGAGAAAACTGAGACACAGGGCAGAAGAATCACATACCCAAGTTCTTGGAGCAAACAAATGGTGGGTGGGAATGCAGGTCTCAGTGACTCTAAATTTAGAGCTTGCCACCGCCAGGGACCCTGCCTGGGAGAGAAGCAAGGATGGAGGAGAGAAGGTTCCTTGGCTCAGCCCCCACGGCTCAGCAGTCAGTTCTGCCAGGAAGGAGTTAAGCCCCACCTGGGCCTCGGCCAGGCCTCTGCACCACGTCTCCTTGCAGGGCCTGCCTGTCTGGGGCTTGTTTACCAGGCCGCACTTGCATCACCAGCTTCAACGTGCAGTGCAAACACACTCACATTCTTGGGTCATGAGAAATGCACAGTTGCGGTGACATCATGCCCAGAGAGGAGGTTTTTGCCAGCCTCCTCCTGCCCACAGTCAGAGCTGTTTAATTAGCACTCGTAACTGGAACTCTTGTCTTCCTATAAAAACCAACTGGAGGAACTCTCATGGGTGGGGGTGATGGGGGTTGGAGTGTGTGTGTGTGTTTTAAGGGATAAAAATAGCCCATCTGGGACTCCTTTTGGGGTATTTGTAAGTATTAATGCATCACTGTTTATATTAAATCTATGTCACTCCGGACATTTTTGTCTGAATTTGGCTTGGAGATGGGACCAGAGAAACCACCCATGTCTTTTTGTTCCCTCTAGTTTTTCCTTTTGGGAGGGAGACACGTAGGCCAAGTGAAAGGGCCCTTGGAGACCATTCAGACCAACCCTTCATTATACAGCCAAGGAAAGGGAGGCCCAGAGAGGGCAGGGCCTTCCCTGATGTCACACAGCAAGTTTCCATGTTCCTACACCCTTTACACGCATTTTGCAGCACTGCCCTCAACCCCCAACTTTGGTTTTGTGAGTTGGCTTTTTAGGGTGTTGAGAAGACAGGTGTTTCTGGCTAGAAACTTCCTGGGTGTGTTTGAGATTAGAGTGGAGGTGATGGTGGTGGTGGTGGTGGTGGGAACAGAGAAGAGTGATTGGGACACAGGAGACCTCAACCTCCCCCACCTGCCTCCCCAATAAAACCTCATCCAGGCTTTGAAAGGCTGTTCCTCTCCCTAGA